GGGGCGTAGCAGGTAGCCGCGTTAGGAGCAGGCGGCGCACGGGGCTATAGGCGGTCGGCGAGGCAGCGCGTGGGGCACGCGAGCTGCTAGCGGGCGGCGCGCGGGCTGCGCAGGTCGCGCGGGCTGCTAGCGAGCGGCGCGCGGGCCAGCAGAGGCGACGCACGGGCCGCGCGGGCTGCTAGCGGCGCGGCGCAGGGAAGGGCAGGGCGTGCGCGGGGCTGCGCAATGCAGGGCAGGGCGCGGGGTAGCGCGGTAACCGCAGGCGGTTGGTGGTAGGGCCGACAAAAAAAAAATCATAAGGACCTAATGCTCTTAATACCATGTTAGAACAAGTAGCAAGGAATGGCTCAACTATCGAGAGGGTTGGGTACAAATGTGAAAACCCTAAAGGGGTTGTACCCCACATTAGCTACCCCACTACAGCCTACACATAGTTATAAAGCATATATAGTTTGACATTGTCGGGGTGTTCTCGATATACACCACCTTTTTTTAAGGGGGGGAGGGGGGGGGGGGGGGGGGGGGGTAAGTGTAAGGAATCATCTGTGATTCCTTACTGGGTCACACTGTACAAGTACAACTCCGGTTTTCGGAGAACAGTTTCAGTCCGACGACCTCGCCCTCCGAACCATTATTGCGTCTCCTTCGGGTTTTCCAATCCAACCCCGAACCTGCACCTAACCATCTCGCGACTCCGCGAACTCGCCCGAGCTAGCATTGCTATATCAGTCCCAGGCCCCATTGTTTGAGCAGAAGTTGTAATCACTTCCGAGATATTGCATTCTGTGCACTCTTCTTTCGTACAACTCATAACATTATAGAACGTTACAGTTACTACAGTGAATAGCGTGTTCCATCAAACCTGCCCTCATTCTCTCCACCATCCTGTCTCCACTCCACTCCCGCCATTTCGTCAACTCCCCAATACAACCACTTCCCTCGCTAGCCGTCGCCCGCCGTCGCAGACCAGCGTCGCTAATCGTCGCCCTTGACCCGCCATTGCAAAGCAGCCATTCACCGTAACGATGCGCCCTTGCCGCCAGATCCCACCCGATCTCTTGAATAAAGGCTCTCCACGCTGCGGCACGACAGGGTCGAGATAGCGCTTATAGCAAATTATTCTCAGGTAGATCGCGCCTCTCGCGTGATGCCACGTGTCCCTTCGGATCAGGAGAAGCGCCTAGCTTGGCAGATGTCGCGTCGGAGGCAGCAGCCACTGCAGTTGCTGGCGCTACGGGAAAGCGGTAGCGAGCCTGTGTAGGACTGGTAGGAATAGCCATCGGTGTCAACGTTTCCATTTCGCAATCTCTTTACTCGCCTCTCAATCGCCCATACATCTCGCACGATTTCGCACCGTTTCTCCACCGTTCCGTACCGTTACGCATCACCGTTCCTATTGGAGTCCTAGCGTTTGCCGCTTCCGCGCAGCTGCAGATTCAGCAAGGGGGAAAGGTTGGGGAAGGGGAAGGGAAGCGAAGCCGTGTGCGCGTCAAGTAGGGAAGCAGTTAAGGGGAGGGAAAGGGGAAGGGCAGCGCAAAGCGCAGAAGTTGCGCGAGCCAAGGCAGGAGGGGCGCATCTCGTTGCCCGGGCGGAGCAACGCTGAACGGCGGAGGGGGCGGGAGCGTAGAGAGCGGCGGAGAGTGGCGGTTGCGCAGGGCAGCAGCGGGGGCGTGGGGGGGTGGGAGCGGCGCAACGCGGGTCTTGCAGGTTTGCGCAAGCTGGGCGGCGCGAGGATTCGCGCGGGCGTGCTTAGGCGTGTTCCCCGTGGGAAGCGCCGCGGCGGCGGAGGAGGAGTGCGGCGATGCGGCAAGTAGACGACCCCGCGGCATCCGGCCTGCCGCCATGGCTGGGATCGTTGCTCGCGCTGCTCGTCGTCACGCACCTATTCGCTCTCGTACGCCCTCTGCGATTCCTCCTCACGCCGGCGTGCCCTCCTCACATGTTGCACCCTTCCTCCGAAGCACTTTCTTTCTCCGTTCTCCTTATTCTCCCCTTTACTTCCCTTCGTTCTCTCTTCTCCCTTGCCATCCCTCAGAATCTTCTTCCATATCACCCCCCTCCTCCTCCCCCCCCCTCATCCCTCTTCACCCCTTTCCTCCCACTTTCCCCCCTCCTTTCTCTCCATCTTCCCTCCCTCCCCTTCTCCGTCCGTTAAAGCCCGTCTTGGCCGTGATAACGACATTTATGGCATTGTGCCTAATGTTCTAACTAGTCCTGGGTTGCGCTATGTGATTGCATGCTGTGTGATTGCTCGTGATGGTGTGTGCTGTGATAGTCCGTGAGAGTGTGCGTCACTAGGTGAGTGTGATTGTCTTTGACTGTGTATCCGGTTATAATTTTGTGGCGTGTGAGTAGGGTATTTAGGAATTGCAGGTATGCATGAGGTGAAGAGATGTACTGAGGTTGATTGGGGGAGAAAGGAGAGGGAAGGTTGAGGGAGGTGAAAGGTTGAAGAGGGTCATCAAGACGCTGTGAGGATAGCAAGGGGTAGTAGGAGAACGTAAGCTAGGAGTTGGGAAGAGGAGCAATCAAAGAAGTGGTTCCACAGCAACATACCATGCTGTCAACCGCATGAGTATTGGGTTCCCAAGGCCCAGTCATTTCTCTTGATAAGGAAAAACAAACTGATAGAGGCAGTTGCAACAGCAACTCTGCATGCATGGGCAGTGCTTACTGCTATCCACCATGCCTTTCACTTGCCCTTGTCATTACTTCGCAAGCGTTTCTGTTTGACCTCCAGTCTCCGTCCGTCCCCCTTCTTTCCTTCCCCTTCCTCCCCTTTGTGCTCTATTTGTGCTTTCTCCTTCCTAATTCCCTGGCGTGCCTTGCTGGGCTCATTGCATGGCAGGTCTATTGGCTCAGCCGGCTGACACTGGAGCGGCCAGGCGTGCGCAGAAAGACAGCCTAGGAAGGACTCTTGCTCCTCTCCCGTGCTCCTGGTCTTAAGGTGTAAAGTTGGCAGGAGATCTTGACAGATAAGGAGTGGTAGCACAGCCGGCAATGGAGCGCGGGTGGACGAGAGGGCTGGGGTAACTGTTGCTTAGGAGCAGGGGAGAGGTGGTAAGGGAATGAGACTGCTGACTACCAAGGTGGCCGGGAATTGAAGCAACAGGAGTGGTAGTGTGGGTAGGTACCGATGAGTTGTGAGAGGGCAAGAGATTGGTTTTGTGGTTGTGGGAGACAGTCATTGATGCAGCTGAGGGGCCTGCTGTGCTGCTGTGTGGCGGGCGCTAGCAATGCTGAATTGCTGTGGATGTTAGACGGGTGAGATGGGGTTGTCGGGACGAAAATGATTGACAAGTGAACCTGTATAGTACATCCTGGATATTGAGTAGGTTAAGATGAGATGCATGACCACTCTGTTTTGTGGAACCTGATTCGGCCAATAGCCGACATCAACTACAACTGTGCCATTCATTGCTGTTTTTCCGAGCAATAGTTAGTGGAGATTTGTGCGGTGCAGATCCTTGATGCAGTGTGTATTGGCTATGGTTGCTGCACCGCTGTTTATTTCGAAGAATCCTCTTTCCCGCATTCCACCATGAAGGGGATGACTTGAGCTGGAGCATCTCGTTTCTGCATTTCTCCCTTGCCCGCTTTTCGCCGCTGTTACCTCGTGCATGTCGCCCCGCCCGCCTGGCCTCGCCCTCGATGATTCCCAGCGCTCCACACGAAGAATGGCCTACGACGCGAGAGATTACTGTGGGAAGGTCCGCGGGAGCTGTTTTGGCACGTGGAAGAGAGAGAGATACAGGGATAGGATTTCAGTGAGGAAGCATGCGGAGAGTGGAAAGTCTACGGGTATTTCAGGGTATTTTCGACTTCGATTTTCGGTAACGTGTGCACAGCACAGCAGCAGGGTGGCTCATGCGGGGGCGTTTGATGCGACGACGAAGGCCAAGGCGACGGCGATTATGATCTTCCCTCGCTGCACCTGCTACTGCACCTGCTGCCTTTTGGCTCCAACGTTACCAAGAGACGACGACAATCATGATCTTCTCGTCGCTGCACCTGCTGCGACAGCTCGGTTCGCTGTCCTCGTCTCGCCTACGAGAGGCCGTGTGTCTGCTCCTGCTGCTATGCCACGGGTGCTCCGCGTTTGTTTATATCCTCGCCTTCGGGCCGCTGGTACTGCTTCTGTCTGTTCTCCCGTGCCGTCGCCATGGCTACTCGCTCGCTTCGGCCATGTACGGGTGGTGGATGCACGGCCTTGCTTTCTTCGTAGAAAAGGTAAATTGCAGAAGAATCTCTGGAATCCATCTATTTCCAGCCCGTTTTCCAGATATTCTCGGCCACTGAAGTTGCATGAAGTTTCCCTCAAGCACTGGAACTGTACCTGTATATTGGATTTGATTTTCACGTTCACCGTTTCTTTTGTGCATGCTTTCTCTGTGTGTGCCGGCCGTGGCGTTGGTGGTGGAGGAGTGGGGCGGGGAATTCTGATGCGGATGCTGATGGCAATGAAGATTGGAGGAACTGAGTGTGTGTTATCGTTGGACTATTCCTGCCATCCTTTTCAAGGCAACCACAGCAGCAATGACGACCATAGCCACAACGACCGCAGCAGCAACGCCAACATTAACGGCAACAGCAAGGACGGCAGCAAGGGCGGGTACAACGACAACCTACTCGAGCATACCAGGGCCCTAGATACGCTAAACAGGGCGTTCGTCATGTGCAACCACCTGTCGGAGTGTGATTGGCTCTTTATCTGCTGCCTGGCTTCCCGGGTCCAGGTCAGTCGTCTGACTCTCTGACCTATGTAGTTGTGTTTTATCCCCTTGCAATAGTCACCCTCCCTATTTGAAGCACCTAGAAGGTGCCGGTAAGCGAGCAACAATGTGCAGTTTCGAGCAGCGGGAGAAGGGCCACCTTATTTCATCTGTTCCTTTCACTGAAAGCCCAGAAATTTTGTTTTGCTTCACCGAACCGGCCTGGCAGGGAGCTGGCTAAGTCACCTCGCACAACCAGTTTGGCTGACTCTTCTTTGCAAGTGTGGCATGCAGGGAGCGCTGGGAGGGCTTCGCTTTGTGCTCAAGCGCAGTATAGCGCGCGTGCCGCTGGTGGGGTGGGCACTGCAGATGCTGCACTTTGTGTTCATCGACCGCTGCTGGCGTACAGACGAGGCAGGCATGGGCGCCACTCTGCAGCAGCTGCGGGCGTGTGCAGGGAAGCAGAACGGGCAGCAGAAGCAGAGGAGAGGCTTCTGGCTTGCCATCTTCCCTGAAGGCACCGACTTTACGTCAGTTGCCCCCACATGGTCTTTTCCCATGTCGGCTGTTGCCTTGGGTGTGACAGTCTGACAGCGATTGATGTGTTTACAGTGCAATAAGAAGCTTGCCTGCGTGCCTGCTTGCTGCCCTTTTCCCTGCAGGGAGCAGAAGAGAGATGCATGTCAGGAGTTTGCGCGGGCCAGGGGCCTCCCAGTGCTGCAGCATGTGCTGCTGCCTCGCACGCGTGGCACCTACTTGTGTCTGCACCAGCTGCACTCAGTGTTTGACGCGCGTGAGCTTCCGCCTGCCTCCACTCTTTCCACCCTTGCCACCATCCACCTGTCTGCTGACTGCAGTGATTATCGCGCCTGTCGTTCGCCCATTGTTGCTTGCACAGTTATGTGGCTAGTCTCTTTTTGCCTCTGCTTTGTTCCAATCCATCCACCCTGTGTCCCTACCCACCAATCTTTGCAATTGCATTACAGTCTACTGTGGTGTGTGTGTATGCTGAGATGTCTCTCCTCGTCCCTTGGCAGTGATCGATGTGACTGTTGCATACGACAAGGGGCAAGGCGGCATGCATGACCTGGCCAAATTGGCCATAGGGCGAGGCCCAAGAAGAGTCTTCCTGCACCTCAAGCTCCTTCCTGTGGGTGCGCCACAGGCGTTTAGTCAGCACGCGTTCAACGAGGCCATGTTTGATATGTACATGCGCAAGGATGCATTGCTCTCGCATGTGTATGCCAAGGGAAGCATGCCTTCGTCCACACTTGTCTCTCTGCGCCCGCCAACCAGGATAGGATTCGCCTCTCTTGCTCTCAGTTTGTTCATGACCATGGTGACTGTATCATTGTTTATATTACCGTAGCTCCTTGCTAAGGAAGTCTTGAACGCTCTTATGATTGATTACCATAAATAAGCCTTGGACAATCCAAGCATGGCTCTACGTCGCCAGAGCGGACGAGGGGTATGGTAGTCTCACCCCGTTTCTACTCAGTCGAACTGGTTACCACTGGTGGTTCCGCAAAGCACGGAGGGTAGAGAATGCAAGGCGGGCCGCCATTTATTACGTTGCGAATTGCGTACCGTCTTCCTCTTCACCACCCTACGCATCCATTTCACCGTACAGTACCGTACCGTTGACATTCACCATCGCGTAAATCTTCACCCTCGAACGTTTCGCTCGGCTCTTCTGGTTCTGAAACGACGTCACGATTGCGCTACTCGCGACGTTCCCCGTGAGCTGCCACGCCACGCCGCGCTTGTATGGCATCTGCTGCCACGTGCCGGGCAGGTCGAGCACCGTCGAGGGCGGCGCGAGTGGGTCGCACGGGAAGCCAGCGACGACTGCCTGGCTGCTCGGCGCGGAAGGGAGGCCCGTAGCGAGGAACGCGTAGGATGTTTTATACGCCCACGACCTGGGGGGGGGAAGAGGTGAGGGAAGGGGGAGGGAGTGCAAAGTGTGGGGTTGGAAGTTTTGAATGAAGCAAGGGAGTGAAGCAAGGGAATTGAAGGAGTCAACACATGACCGGTGATTATGGGGACTCCCTTCGGAAGAGCGTAACGTCTGCGGGCTTACACGAAGAGTAGCAAAGCATCTCGCTGCGTCTCAATAGCAACCCCGTTTTGACCCAGTGGGTGGCGGGGCGTTATGAAGGGTGCTTTAGCTGGGCTCGTAGCAGCAGAGAGGGAGCACACATGTTGACACGTCGCAACATCGGACGGCACAATATCATGCTGCGAGCGCCCTTGTGAGCTCTTGGCTGATCGCACAAGAGTTGTTCACTTGGAAAAAGGTTTTAGGCTACAGCACTACCACTACTAGTGGCCGACCCTAGCAGCGCAGCGCCTCACCTCTCCATGGTCGTGCCGATAATCCCGGACACTGCCGGCTTCATGCCGTACACGCGGCGACACGCGGTCATGTCGAACTTGGACTTGGCTGTCAGGCAGGGGAGGAGGAGAGACGGAGGAAGGAGGTGAGAGGAGAGGGGAAGGGAGTGGAGAGAGGAGGAGAGAGGAGAGAGGAGAGGAGGAGAGAGGAGGAGAGAGGAGGAGAGAGGAGAGGGGGAGTGGAGAGAGGAGGAGAGAGGAGCGGGGGAGTGGAGAGAGGAGGAGAGAGGAGGAGAGTGGAGAGGAGAAGGGAGTGGAGAGAGGAGGAGAGAGGAGAAGAGGAGGGGAGAGGGGAGCGGAGAGGAGAGGGGAGGGGAGCGGAGAGGAGAGGGGAGGGGAGCGGAGAGTAGAGGGGAGGGGAGAGGAGAATGGAGTAAGAGGAGCGGCAGAGAAGCCGTGGAGCGGGTGATGCGATGCGAGGAACGGCGAGCATCGACGTGCAACGAAGTGAAGTGGCTAGGCCAGACTCTAACGTGGCACGGCAGGATTCCGAATGCTGGTGCGAGCATTTCAGGGAGGAGCAATTCGTAGTTGTGGCGGTGGGAATGATGGATGGAGGACGACGGGAGGGGTTCTCGGTGCTTACTTATCTGCACAGGGAACTTCTCTCGGCCGCCATGTGCGCCCGGTGCTACAGCGGCTGCGATGCCTGTTGGCGGGAAGGGTGGATCAACGAGGCGGAGGGCGGAGGGCGGAGAGCGGAGAGCGGAGAGCGGAGAGCGGGGAGCGGGGAGCGGAGAGCGGGGAGCAGAGATGAGGGTCTTGTTTCCCTCTTCCTCGCACACATACTAGACAAGGGTGGCTTGCAAGAGAATAAAGGATGGATGTCGGATTTGCGCAGCGGGAGAGCAGCAATAATGCATGGGGCGAGCGGACTCACAGAGTAGGAGAATCAATGGCGCCATGGTCGTGCGTGATTCCATCGTTGATACGAGAGCTTGACTACCCTGGGAGTAAAGTGTATCTCGTATGACGGTTGTCCGTTACGGCTAGGGTGAAAGTACAGGCGTATGCTACGATACGACTGCGTGATAGAACGCTACGGCTAAGGTATGCTAGATGTGACCTATTTATGTTCAAGCGGGAGTGACTCTAGAGAGATGTGGGTTGGAAGGTATGGTTGGTGCGACGCGTGTGAGTGGTGTGGTGTGTCCTCCCCCCGTTAACGACAAACGACCAGAGGGCGGGGAGCGTTGCTGGTCCTGGCGGAGCGTTTTTCGTCGGTGCGAAAATGGTCAACTGGGCATAACACAGCCGAGCCGAGCCGAGCCGACGATGTAGTTGAAGCACTGGCGGACGACATTCCAGAGATACTACTTATTCTGTGTTCCACCCACCCCACTCCATTACTCCAAACCTCCACTACACTTTTCCCCTCCCAAATCGGAGCCGACAGGACTTGTTTTTGGTGTACAGTGTATATCTGTGCTTGCCGCCACATTTTCGTGCCGACAGCACGATGGATTGACGGGATGCAACATTCGAGGCGCCACCAAGCTACTGGTGGAAATTCCCCATTATTAGCAATTACACAAGTATCCTATTACGAGTGCAATTGAGAGAGCTAGCTAGAATTGCACTATCGAAGCAAAACAGTACAAATGAGCGAAGGCATGAGCGAGAACGAAATAGCGAAGGCTACAGTGGTGACGGTAACGAACTGTGGGTTGTGCGCGACGGGCCTGGGACTGAGGTTGGGGAAGTGTCGAGGCGGAGGCCCGGAGCGCGGGTTACCAACCCAGCCGTGAGGTTTGGGGTGCGTGTCAATCAAATGTTGTAGCCTGTAGTGAGGTTTGTCTTATAGGGTACAAATGTTAGGGTTTGCTATATGTACCCCAACCCTCATCAATAACACAACACTTTCATTCTTGACATGGTATCACCTAGGTTAGGATCCTGTGGGATCCCGCACCTCTCGTCCTCGTTCGTTCCGCCCGAGCCTGTCTCGCTCTCTCGTACTAGTCGTACCCGTCTTGCCCGAGTCTAGCGCCGGCCCGATCCAGTCTCGCTTGTTCGTTAGCGCCGGCCCGATCCAGTCTCGCTCGTTCGTTAGCGCTCGCTCCGCCGACCCGCTTTCCGCGTAGCGTAGCGCCTTCCCCCCCCTGCCCGTCGCATCGCGCTCTCCCTGGCTTTCCGTCCCGTCACGCCCTCCCCCGCTCCTCGTCGCGACGTGCCCTCCCACCCTGCCCGTTGCGTCGCGTCCTCCCCCCCGCTGCCCTAAACGCCCGCTCGTCGTCGCCGCGGCGCCCCGTATTTCGTCGCCGCGGCGCCCCGTATTCCGTCGCCGCGGCGCCCCGCATTTCGTCGCCGCGGCGCCCCGCATTTCGTCGCCGCGGCGCCCCACATTTCGTTACCGCGGCGCCCCGCATTTCGTCGCTGCGCCTGCCCGTACCGCCCGCCGCCGCGCCTGCTCGTTAGGCCTGGCCGCGGGCCCGCTCGTCCCGTCGCCGCGCCTGCTAGTTAGGCCCGCCGCGGGCCCTCCCTTACAGCCGCCGCGGGCCCTCCCTTACAGCCGCCGCGCGTGCTAGTCAGGCCCGCCACGGGCCCTCCCTTACAGCCGCCGCGGGCCCTGCCTTCCAGCCGCCGCGCCTGCTAGTTTAGGCCCGCCGCGGGCCTTCCCTTACAGCCGCGGCGGGCCCTGCCTTCCAGCCGCCGCGCGTGCTAGTTAAGGCCCGCCGCGGGCCCTCCCTTACAGCCGCCGTAGGCCCTCCTTCGCACCGCTGCGCCTACTCGTTCAGTCCGCCGCGGGACCGCCCCTAGCCCCGTTGCGCCCGCGTTTTGCGCCCATCACGGACTTGCCCTAGCCGCCTACCGTCCCTACCAGTGCCACCCACCACCCGACTTGTCGCTTCTACTTACATTATGGCGACCCCTAGGGTTCTTCGCTTCGACGCTGACGGTAGACCGCTCGAGTTTCCGGTCTAGCTCCTACGCGCGCGTCGCCTTTTAGAGAGTCAGGTTCAGGCGGGCGAGTCCATTTGGGCGCACACTACTGGTGACCTTCCAGCGCCCGACGACCCTACGCCTTTAGGCACTGCCCCTGACGATGCAGCCAGGGACCGCTTCACCCGCCAGCGTGCAGACCTGACGGCGTGGAAGTCGCGTGATGCTGCGGCCTGCATCGCTCTTAGCAGCCTCCTCCCTGAGTCTGAGGAGGCCCACTTCACTCAGGTTCGCACTACTAGTGAGTTCCTGACTGCGATTAAGGCCCGCTACGCTACTCCCACCACTGTCTCTCTTGGCCGACTCTTCCTACCGTTCCTGTTCCCTGACCTCGCCTCGTTTGAGCGCTCTGCTGACTTGATTGCTCACCTCCGCTCGATTGATTCTAGCTACCGCGCTGCTTGCACTGAGGCACAGCTTGCACTGCTCCCTCCCCCCATGGCGATTACTATCTATTTCATCGCCACTAGCCTCCTTGGCCACCTTGCCTCAGTCCGTGACACGCTTCTTCTGAAGCACCCTATTGAGCTCACAATCGAGGTCCTTGAGTCTGCGCTCAAGGACGTCGAGAGCATCCTCCGCTCCGTAGCCTCCGCCTCTGGTGCTGTGCCCCCTCCACTGTTCCACGGGTGCACTGTCCCTCAGCTACCCACCTTTACAGCCTCTCTCGCCACTGCTACTACTGACGTGACCGCAGTTGCTGTTACGACTTCTTCGCGGTCTCGAGGTGCGGTCAAGGTACAGGTGGCGGCGGTGGTGGAGGCATTGGCGGCGGAGGTGGTGGGTGTCAGAATCCCAGCCACTAACCACTGGGATAAAAGGGCTTGTTTGTGTAGCGGGTGAGTGCGCCCATAACCCCCCAGGCCAACGTGCTTGTAACCCTTCCTTAGGATCAATCGGGGATCACCAGTGGACCTCTGACAGTGGGGGTGGCGTGCCGACTAGTGGCGGCGGGAGTGCAGGGCCAGGAGAGGCGTCTCGTGCAGCGGCCGGTGACTCCGCTACTGCAGCTGGTGGAGGCGACGCCCGGGCTCGTCACCCACCTTCTGATCTGCCGGCCGCAGCGGGTGGAGTAGCGGCGTGGTACCTGGCCCAGCGGCAGCAGCAGCAGCCCCTCCCCTTGCAGCAGCCCCCGCAGCAACAGCGGCAGCAGCAGGTTTCGGGGCCATGACAGCGTCAGCCTCAGCGAGGTGTTGTTCACCCTTCGTGCACCTATCAGCTTTTGACAGCTGCTCGCTGAGGCCAGCCTTGTGGCCGCACCCACCCTCCTGGTTGGTGCTTTGCTCAGCTCACTGACACAGTTCGCTTGGCCTTCGGCATTGGCGGCCCTACCCCTGACTGGTTTCCTCTTGTTCAGACGTACGGCTCCGCTCTTTGGGGCATGTCAGCTTATCAGTTGGTTGATCTCTTAGGAACTCCTCATGCAATGTAAGCTGTTGTTGACTCTAGTGCTTCTGACTCCGTTTACTCGAGTGTTGTTAGCTTAGGTGCTAGTCTTGCTGAGTTGCCTGTTGCTAGTGTAGACACTTGTGTAAACACTAGTCCAGGAGCTACTTCGGAGGACGCTTTGCTGCCTTCCACTTTGGACTCTGGGGCTTCGCACTGCTTCTTCCGAGACCACACGACACTTACTCTGCTTCCGACGCCGGTCTCTGTGGCTCTGGCTGATCCCACCTCGGGACCAGTCACTTCTTGCTACACTACTACTCTTTCGTGCCCTGCTGTTCCCTCTGGGTCTCTGACTGGCATCCACGTCCCCTCGTTCTCGCGGAACTTGGTGGGCGTGAGGCCTCTTATGAGTCAGCACGTGGGTGTGTGGATTGAGCCCTCTGGTGCGACGGCGATTTGTGTTGACGGAGACACTTACACGCCTCTTGCCACCTTTACAACTGAGCCTGGCTCTGGTCTCTAAACACTTCACACTACCTCTGGTGGGCAGCAGCAACAGCAGCAGCTGCAGCCGCAGCAGCAGCAGCAGCAGCAGCAGAAGCAGCGGCAGTAGCAGCAGCAGCGGCAGCAGCAGCAGCAACAGCAGCAGCAGAAGCAGCGGCAGCAGCAGCAGCAGCAACAACTACTGCCCCCGGCCCCTGTTCCTTCCCCCATTCTGGTCCCTGCGTCTCACCAGGTTGCTGCGTCCCCCCATGTAGCAATGTCTGGTGAGGTTCCTGTGTCTTGTCTAGTTGGTGCGTCATGCTCCTGCCGGTCACTTGCCCACCCCACCGTTCTGTGGCACCACCGGATGGGGCACCCGTCTCTCCCTCGTCTGCGCACTATGTCTTGTCAGCGTCTTGTCTTAGGCCTCCCACGTGTCTTGTCGTCGCTGCCGCCTTTGCTTGCACCACCGTGTGGTCCTTGCATCGAGGGTAGGCTGCGCACCACCCCTCACTCCTCCTCCCTTCGTCTGGCCACCGAGCCTTTCGAGATGCTTCACTTGGAGGTCTGGGGCCCCGCCTCTTGCCTTGGCCATGAGCGTGAGCGTTTCTTTCTGGTGGTCGTTGACGACTACTCCCGCTACACCACAGCGTCCCCCTTGCGAAGAAGTCTGAGGTGACTTCTATGCTGATCAGGTGGTTGCTTACCACTGAGGGCACTCGTGGTCGTCGAGTCAGCTGTCTTCACTCCGACTGTGGGGGTGAGTTTTGCTCCGGCATTTTCGCTGGATTCTGACGCAAGCAGGGCATTTGTCAGTCCTGGATGCTTCTGGAGTCCCCAAAGCAGAATGGGGTTGCTAAGCGCCGCAAAGGCTTGGTCATGGAGATCGCCCGCACCTCCTTGACTCACGCCCGTGCCCCCCATTTTCTGTGGCCCTACGCGGTTAGGTACGCCGCTCACCAGCTGAACCTCTGGCCACGTGTCTCTCGGCCAGAGGTTTCACCGACTAGTCTTTGGACCGGGTCCCCTGGTGTTGCGTCGCGGTTTCGTGTCTGGGGTTGCTTGGCTCTTGTTCGCGACACCTCCGCGG